ATTTAAATTTATTTAAATTTATTTAAATTTATTTAAATTTATTTAAATTTATTTAAATTTATTTAAATTTATTTAAATTTATTTAAATTTATTTAAATTTATTTAAATTTATTTAAATTTATTTAAATTTATTTAAATTTATTTAAATTTATTTAAATTTATTTAAATTTATTTAAATTTATTTAAATTTATTTTAATTTATTTAAATTTATTTAAATTTACTTAAATTTATTTAAATTTATTTAAATTTATTTAAATTTATTTAAATTTATTTAAATTTATTTATTGTTGTATTTTTATTTATTTTTATTAATTTTTATTTATTTTTATTTATTTTTATTTATTTTTATTTATTTTTATTTATTTTTATTTATTTTTATTTATTTTTATTTATTTTTATTTATTTTTAATTATTTTTATTTATTTTTATTTATTTTTATTTATTTTTATTTATTTTTATTTATTTTTATTTATTTTTATTTATTTTTATTTATTTTTATTTATTTTTATTTATTTTTATTTATTTTTATTTATTTTTATTTATTTTTATTTATTTTTATTTATTTTTATTTATTTTTATTTATTTTTATTTATTTTTATTTATTTTTATTTATTTTTATTTATTTTTATTTATTTTTATTTATTTTTATTTATTTTTATTTATTTATATTTATTTATATTTATTTATTTTTATTTATTTTTATTTATTTGTATTTCTTTTTATTTATTTTTATTTCAATTTAATTTCATTTATTTATTTATTTATTTTTAATTATTTTTGTTTATTTTAATTTATTTTTATTATTATTTTTACGATATTCCCATACAAACTTTCACCCCACACTGTCCCCTTAAAATACAAAAACCCCTATGCACGTCATTATTTATTTATGATGAGTGGTACCAATTTCAATTTTTAAGTTCCTACCTAAAAAATCGATACTTCAAACTTTCCTTTTCTTCCGTTTCGCTCTTAAAATGTGAAAACCCAAAACTGTGAAATACGTCGCTATTAATTAAATTGTAATTCAAATTTTATTGTTTTTAACTTTAAAGAACCAGTTACCTACTTTTATAAAAAGTTTTCCCTTCTTAAATTTGAAGTCTCCAAAAATATGATATTTACGTTATTAAATAAATCTATGTTTTAAATTTCAGCTTCCTAGACTTGGCAGTTTTGGCTCTGCGTTGATAGATCAGCTAGTCCGTCAGGACTAACTATTTTATATATTTAGATGACAGATTTCGTCTTTGAAATAAGCAATAAGCGGTAAAAATAGTGGGTATATGTATAAGTACTACACAATGTATTATTTTCTATTGTATTAAATTCCGCTACGGGTTTCAACACATTTACGCAGAAGCATTTTACTTGACATATTGTACACTTTTTTGGCAGATTATAATAATTTCGGTTAGTTTTGGTATTTTATATTTTTTTAATAACAATCTAATAGACAAAGCAGTCTATTTTTTATGACAAAATCTACAGGATAAGCGGTCCATTTTCTATGAAAATATCTACTAATAAGCGGCACGAACTATTTTACGAAAGGTTCATAACTTTTTAAGGCGATCCCTAAGGACCGCCATGGTCTTGTACTTGTACAATGTTTTCACAGCGGTCCACATGGACCGATTTGGTCATTAACGTGTTCAAATATTGTAAGCCGCTAAAAGAATCTAATAATATTCCGCTACGGCTGCATACAAGCAATGGTTCAGGATTGTTGTTATACAGATATACAAATCGAGGCGACTAGAGCGCCACCATCCCAGAATGCGGAAAATGTTGGAACTAAAGATTGGAGTTTCGTCCAAATCTGAGCCATTTTCAAATTTATTCCAGGCAGTCTACAGGGTATTTTAAAGTGTTTTATAAGGGTCTCCCATCCTGAACCACATATACGGCTCAGGTTTGTTCGGATGGTTCAGGATATTACTGTCGAATATAGACGATTGGTTCAAGAAGATACTAAGGCGCTATATATATATATATATATATATATATATATATATATATATATATATATATATATATAAGGTGCCTACGATGCATATATTCTATGGTAGATGTCTGATAATACTTTTGTTACATTTGCATTTGTTTTGATGCGTCTATTTCTGTTTCCTCCAAGCCTAGCTTACAGAGGTTCAGCTAAACTTCCCATCACCTTTCAAGTTGGTCTTGCAGCATATATAAATATCTGTCGGTTTTATTTGATGACGTGACTAGTCACTAAACTTTTTGGTTCGGAGTTTAAGGTGGGGGACCCAAGTGAAAGTATTCTTGATTTTGATTTCGCAAAGAAACTTTGATATTTTGCCATTCTCCAAACCGTCTTGCAAATATTTTCCCAACTTTTTACCAGCTCTTCGTTGATTGGTTTTCCGAGAGAGATGCTATTAGGATCCGCTCCCAGAATATCCTGATACTGAATTTGATCCTTTTAGATTCTAATTCTGAATCAACTTAAATCTACATTTAATCAATGGATAATTCAGGTGCACATAAAGGGGCATTTTTTTTAGGTGCAGGATTTACCCATACAGTAGCGTTTTTGCATTTTATAAGCATAAGACCAGAGTTACCAGACATTTATTTTTCTATAATGTAGAATTTACATAGTACCTCCTACATTGTGCTTCCAAAGTTTTTTGAAGTTTACACTTCAAGTAGCATTTTTCGCATTTCGGTTAGCCGGGCTAGCATCTTATAAGTATAGGATCAGATTTAACACATAAAGCCACCTCCTTTGTACATTTATTTGTTTATATGCAGAATTTTCATATGAAATATTATCTTTTGTGGCCAAAGTTTTGCGAAATTTACACATTAATTAGAATTATTTGCGGTGCGGTTAGCTGGGCTAAGTACAAGATCAGAGATAATACATAAAGTAGCCTTCTCTGTATATTTATTTTGCAATAATATGCAGAATTTACACATTAAAATTTACACATTAAGTAGCATTTTCCGCGGTGCAGTTAGCCGAGTTTGCAGTTTATAAGTATAAGATCAGAGTTAATACATAAAGTAGCCTTCTCTGTACATTTATTTGGCTTAAATAAGTTACACATAAAATAGTATCTTCTCGACCAAAGTTTTACAAAATTTACACATTAAGTAGCATTTTTCGAATTGCAGTTAGCCGAGTTTGCAGTTTATAAGTATGAGATCAGAGTTAAAACATAAAGTAGCCCTTCTCTGTACATTTATTTGGCTTAAATAAGTTACACATAAAATAGTATCTTCTCGACCAAAGTTTTACGAAATTTATACATTAAGTAGTATTTTTCGAGTTGCAGTTAGCCTAGTTTGCAGTTTATAAGTATAGGATCAGAGTTAACACATAAAGTAGCCTTCTCTGTACATTTATTTGGCTTAAATAATTTACACATAAAATAGTATCTTATCGACCAAAGTTTTACAAAATTTTCACATTTAGTAGCATTTTTCACGTTGCAGTTAGCTGGGCTTGCATAATGTAAGTATTAGATCAGAGTTAACACATAAAGTAGCCTCCTCTATATAGTTATTTGTTATTTGCAGAATTTACACATAAAGTAGTATCTTCCGCCACAAAAGTTTTGCGAAATTTGCACATAAAGTCGCATTTTTCGCTCTGCTTACGGCTTATATGAATGATGTATTTTTTGCATATTTATATGTCGTCTACATTCGGAAATTTACAGTAAAGCAGTATCTTCTGCAAGCTAAAAATCCATTAAATTATGAAGAAAACCATTCTCAAACCTGTAAAATCAGAGTTAACACATAAAGTAACCTCATCTGTACATGTCTTTGTCTATAATGCAGAATTTACACAAAGTAGTATCTGCCCTCATCAAAGTTTTGCGAAATTTGCACATTAAGTAGCATTTTTCGTTTTGCAGACGGATTTTATGAATGACTGTACCGTTAACATATAAAGTAGTGTCTTCTGAATATTTATTTGTCGTCCAAATGCAGAAATTTACACATAAAGTAGTATCTTCTGCAAGCTAAAAATCAGTTAAATAAAAAGAAAAACATTATTTTCCTACCTTAGTTTTTACCCATGTTTTTATAATCGCTGAAATGTGGTCGGTTTAACGATGTGAATCAGGCGACACAACAATTGGTAATGAGTAATGTAGACAGGCAGCGATAGAGAGTGACGTTAAATTTTTAATCTAAACATGTGAGTCAGCGGCGTAACATAGGTATACTACATGGTTATCTTTATTTCCACTAACAAGGATGTGAAGCATAATAAAAAATGCACGTAACTAAAATAAATAGCCCATATATACACTTATTTATTTCAACCATTATTTGGAAATTAGGGTAAATATGCCTGTTTATAACAGATTATGCGGGATCAGTGCCACACAATAAATATTTAACCCATCAACTACCTGCGACCCTAATTAGCCAGGAAAGGATTAACTAAAATTCAAATGTATATCATAATATCAAAAACCGGAAGAGCTGTGGCATCCTTTATTAGACTAGTCTACATATCCGTTATTTACTTGCCTTAATAAACATTTATTTTCAAGTTAATAAATATAACACAATGTATATCTTAGTCAACCGGGCAATGTTATCAAAAAAAGTTATTATACACTACCAACACTTTAGTTTAACACAAAAATAAACTACTACAACTAACCATATACCTATCTTACGCTACGACACTGATTTATTTAATTGAATTAATACCTAACTGGTTTATTAGCCTTCCCAGTATACCTTCTTAGTATTGACGAGTTTATCGCCGATTCAAAGTATTTACCTAACTTGGCTAGATATATTTGAACGAAGAGTAAATATTATGGAATAATCTCTCTTTTTAAATTTCCGCGTTGACAAAGCATAAACAATAAAATGATCCCGGTAAGTTGAGCTTTGAAAATCATAATAGAATTCCATTGTTGCCGGTTGACAACAGTGCAATCCGCAAGATGAGTCACCATCATTTAAAAATTGTTGGAGTATAGTCATAGCTACTTACCACAGAAATAATATGTTCTTGTCTACTGGCAGTGCAACTGTCCATTTCATAAAATGGCAAACGATCCGTTTGACCTCGTGCATTATTTAGAAAATCTGCAAATGTAGAAGAAGTTCCTCCGATTGGTGACGATGGTGTTGTACACCTAGACAACGCTTCAGGCTGAAAATTTTAGATAAATCTAAAGAGAGCTTTTTATTAGTAAAAAAAATATTTTTTCACTAGTGAAGAAACTGTTTTACGGTGACTTTATAACTATATCGCTTTCTTACGGTGACTTTATAACTATATCGCTTTCAAGTTCATGATCCATCTAAAATGAGTCATTAAATTATTGGTATAAAGGTACAAACAACGGGAAAACTGAAGTTATCGTTTGATAGTTTAAACTTCAAAACGTTTACATAAACATTATGTTTCCATGGTTACAAAAGTCAAAGTAATGTTGATACGAATTAATTTTTACATTAAATTTACTACAATAAATTGAAATGTAACAAATTTTTACTCATTGGGATTATTGTTTGTACTGTTGTTTGTATTTCAAGACGAAAAAAAGTGTTTCAATTAAATCTCATGCATTGATTTAGCACATTTAATACAAAACTAACTATCACTTGTCTGTGTTATTCTATGTAAAATATATGTTTAACAAATATCCAAAAAAACTCACCTGATAACATTCCAATGATATCCTCAATTTCTCTAAAACCTGACTAGGCTTGAACCTCAATCCAGCTTTAGAAAACTTTGCAAGGTGATCCCAAAGTGTCAACCATATATCAGTCTTGTAAGGTACAATACGCAACTGTGGAGACAGTACCATCATTGACGCATTCCATAGAACTTCTTGGGAGAGATTTATTAAATAGTTTCTGTTTTTTATTTCAATGTCCAGCCCTAGACGTTGAGTTGATATGGGCAGTAATGTTGTTATTTTGTTAGCATCTGATGGTAAATTTTTTTGTACAGACGCAAATGAAGCAGCTATCAGAAATTCCTTAAGGATTTCTGGATAATCCATTGTAAAAGGTTTTGATGAATGCCAACAGATTAGCTGAAAAAATATTGTTTTAGTTCGATCAGAGATAGAAAGCTATGTTATAATTTAAAGGCTGCAATGATTATTTACCTCCGATGCTATTCCTAGATCTTCTAAATGCACTATAAAGTAATGCAATATGGAAAGTTTATTTTCTAAAGTGGTGTTTGACTTGAAAGTTTCTACCATTAGAAGTTCGAGTATGCTCATATCAATTATATCTAAATTGGTTAAATTTATTATATAATCGTCAGCTGACAGAAGAGGTGCCAGATATAGCGAACGGGAGTCTCTATCGGATATTAATGGATCTGTAGCAATGTGACAGTACGGCTCGTGCATTAAGCCTATATCCAGCAAATGAGTGCATACTTCAGGGACGAAGACAATTAAGAAATCGCCTAAAACGTTTATTACTTAAATTTACACTTTCTTATTGTTTCGGTGCTCCATCAATCACGAGGTTCTTTGTTTAATATAAAGAACTCTTGCTTACCTCTTAATTTAAATAATGGGCGTATGTGTTTTGCCCTATTCCAAGGAATGTCATTTATAACACAATGTATCACACAGCTTTGATGCAATGCAGTTACAGAATAAGCGAAATTAATAGGAGCTGTATCATTTTCGTCTGTATGATTTATTGATGGTTGGATTGGCTACAAGTAAAATGATTTAAATTAAACTCAGATAAACACTAAAAAATGTGGTCAAAGAAGTACTATATTTATAAACGTGTATATTTGCATTATTTTAGATTTTATCATTAGGGCTGCCAGCAATTTAAAACTGTTCCTGAAGAAAAAATAAAATTATATTTTTACCTGGTATAAATAGTGATGACATATACACACACATCCTCTGGAATTGGTTAACACAATCAAATCGAGAGACGAATCGTGTACTCGCAATGGAATTACATCGTCTTCATACGTTGCCAACGAATCAGAAGAATTTAAGTGTGGAAGATTTAGCGGAATATTTAACTAAAAAAAATCAAACATTAATATCCCAAATCTAAACAATTTCTGAGCACTTAAAACAAAAGATCGAGTAATCAATCTTTATATATATAGAAATTAGGAATATTACAACTGCGAGACAATCTCCCATAAACAGATCAACAGTAGTTGGAGCTGGGTATAGCACTTTTGGAAAGTGCTTGAAGCACTTTCAAAGCTTCAAAGTTTTAAGGCTTTTTTTTAGAAGCCAAGAAGAGGAAGGCGTATATGATTTTGAAAATTCTCTTTGTAGGGGCTCCGCAAAGAAACGGGTGGGACCTAACAAGACGCTAGAGCAAGGAGGACTTTTTTCCGAAATGCGTTTAGGGCTCCGTCAAATATTTCACTTTTCAAAAGGGTTCTGTCACCAAAAAAGTTTGAGAACCACTGCTCTAATCAATCCCTTTATTATTTATTATTGTTTTTGAAATTGTAAGTGTTCGTTTTTGGAACTATTTACCCTTATTTCTGAAATAATATTTGCATTATTTTTAAAATTTCCTGTCAATCATACCTATTTTTATTTATACACAAAAATACAGATAATATCGGAAGTTTAATACAACTTGGCATCAATAGTTTATATCTACTCAAAGCTTTGACCGCTTTGACCTGACTTTCGTTAGCGGAAACCAGTAGCATTTAGAGAAAATAGTTTTGAGTAAAATACTTTATTAAACAGTAAATGAACGTGGTTGGTTTCCAAGATATGTAACGGTTCTCAGTTGTGATTCGGTCAGTTTTCAACTCCCGCCTTAATATTATGGATTTTAATATTTTTCATCACCTACTTGAAGCCTTCAAATTCTTTTCAATGGGTATTTGGTGATTTATTTTTCAAATACTGTACTTGATAATTGAAGCACTTTTAAAAATTATTTGGTAATAGACACTTTAAAGCACTTTATGAAAGTGGTTGGCGCTTGGTAATTGAAGTACTTTGCAGAAGTGCTTTACCCAGCTCTGACAGTAGTTTATTCAAAAGTATATATTGAAATGTAAGCATTTATGTACAGGTTACATTAGCTGGTTAATGGATAAGCCTACAAATTGTATCAACAATCGACTGTGCTGATGCTAAACGTTGAACTAGTTTAACTGATTGCAGTTTAAAAAAAAATCGTTTAAACACACCACAGACTCGTGTGGTTGATCATCATTAAATTGTAGCCCTGTTAGAGTCGGAATTGTTTTATTATTGGTTTCTGTATTGCTTTCTTCTCCTTCAGCAAGTCCTCCATTTCGGCTTTTATTATGAATATGATATAAAGTTTGTTCGACAGGGTCCCATTGGGCCCAGAAAAAATTTTTAACCAACCGTTCGTAAGTTAAAGAATTTTCAGTCACATTTTCACTTGTCATTTTCATATGATATTGGTAAATACCTGAAATAAAAAAAAGTCGTTATTGAAATCTACTAATATTTCATAAAATTATGATTTTATGTTATTATTTTGAACCTTTTTATTCCCTTACCTCACTTAAATCAATTGTAGATTTGGTCAATTTGGTTTTCCAAATGTCTTTCTAATTATAAAAATAATTTTTATTCTTAAGGGTAAAATAATAAGTAGTACGATTATCGACAATTTTTTGAAATTTCACAAAGTCATGCAGTCCTAGTCTTCATAATCATTTATCAAAGATCAGAAGTTGGATTAAAAAAAATATTGATATTTAAGCATATGTACCACGGAATTATATTTAAGACAAATAATATACTTAATGAGTATGACAGATAATGGTTTGTATCGAAAGAAGTTTGGTTTGCAAACATGGTAATCCATGTACCACAGCGATAATATAACATAGCATTGTCACATTTTAATAAAATTCAGTCTCTTCAATTGGTTGAAATTAGCATCATGTGATATATGAATTATATTCTCACTTTTGAAATGAGTCAATTTATGTTTCTATAGCAATTTTAAATATAAACTTACAGTGATCATAAAACCTTTCAAGAACTTCCATTTATATTTATATGTGCGATTTCAATATATGAGGATTCGGAATGGAATTTCACGTTTTTAAAAAGAAAATATAAATTAGGTAACCAATTTGAAGACATGCTTCGTGATCCATTTGGAATTAATTTATTTTATCTTTGAGCAAATGCTTGGATACATGCCGTTATGATGCCGTTATGATACTATAGAAAGAAAGTATGATATTAAAAAAAGGAAGGTATATTACGCCGATTAATGAATAGCTGTTGAAATTTTGTAGAATTATGATTTGGGATATTATAATACTTGCTTAATATATGGACACACAAAAAAAAAGTGGTCAGTATTTTTGACCAGACCCACCTAAGGTTATATGTATTTCGATGGATGCCAAAATTTTGAGTAAATTGCAAAAAATCGTTAAACCGCGATAAGTGATCTGTGGATCATACCTCTGTAATTTTTTTGTATCATGGGTGACAAATATTAAACATGCATGTCAATACTATTAAAAAAAAAATCCAAAGTAAAAATGGGTCAAATAATCAAATAATATTCTTGTCTATTGTCTAAACATACCTTCTTGATGTATCAGTAGTAAAAATTTCAGCGTCTGATTTTCTAAAGGTTGTTTACAGTTTAAAAATTGCACAAATGTCTGTTTCTTGGACCCATCCTTGATTTGAAAATAGTTCTTGTGGTCGTCGCCAATGTTATACAAGAAACTTTTATAAGAAAAACCATCAGTATCTTCGGAGTTTTCCTTTATTACATATATCAGGACAGTTCTATTGGTGCTGATTGTAGCTTGAATACATTCAATTTTTTTTTCGAACGCAAAAATAGGTGTAAGCGTATTTTCTTCATAATTGTATTCTCCAATGCAAGTCTTACAAGTATTTAATTCTGGATTTGACTGAACCCAGCTAAATAAAAAAGATTCATCACGTTCTTGGCCTAGCAGTCTCCATTCATTAAAATTATCTAAAAAACAAGTTGGATAAAAATAAAATATTAATGAAACGCCACTGCAAACTATATGCGCTGCTATGCAATGTTGCCAATGTTCCCTAAAAATCTTTTAATATATTTGTAATAAAATATTTTACTCATTTTGCTTATTAATAATTTAAAACAGGATAAAAAATTGTATATATTAAAATACAAATTTCATCAGAAGTTGCTCGTTTTCTAAGTATGGACACGCGTGCTAAATGTCCTAATAACTTTGTATTTATAATATTATTTTGTTCAGGGTGTTAGTATATTCGACCGACAATGCTACAACCCAAGAGAGCTCTCGTTAATTGACGAATTTTGATATAGAAACATAAACCCTTAAAGGGCTTAATTATCGAGATAAAGGGTGCTACAAGTTTGAAATCAAAATTCAAAATTTGCCCTGAAACAGAAACGCCTTTAAATATTTTTTCAAATTTGGTGTTCAATATGCTCTTTAAGAAAGTAATATTTTGACATGAACTAACTTTTTAAAAATTTTACCAGTATGTATGTTTTATTTATCAATTTGCACCAAACTTTGCATCGAATCCTGGTTTACCTTAATTAACATTATCACAACGTGGGTACACAAATTATCAATAAATTAACTAGACGATCACTTTTACTGCTAGAAGGAAAAAGGCCAATTACAGTAAGTATAGAATTTAAAGTAAAACTTGTGAGGTAATTAATAACATTTTAAAGAGAGTAAAATAAAATACAAGAACAAATCAAAAAGAAAAAGGGGCCTGGGGGGTGGCCGTCACACGTGTAAGACCCGGTCGGATAGAGAAGGTTAATCCGGCCCGGGAAATTGTAAGTACCGGCCCGGCACAAATTTCTGACAACAAGAACTGGACCGGCAATCTCCAGAATTCCCCATAGGCCAATTCGCCCCTAGCCAGATCTGTTAAAGCTTTTGTTATCAAAAGTTATAAGATGACTTTCGTTATGGAACTGAATGGAATCCCAGATAGCACAGGATGTCCCATGGACGTTCTGATTTGGTTCCTTGTTGGTACGGGATCTAAATCGGACGTCCACTGGACTTCCGATTATCGTGAACCCTAGGACGCCCGTCTTATTTTGGTCCCGTTTTCGGTCCGAGTTCAATACGTTAATAGGACGTCTATGGGATTTCCTATAGGTACTGGCATCGTTGGTCTTTGAATCGATAACTTGAAATTCAACGTTTTGTTTTTGAAAGAGGAGAAGCACAGACAATCTAACCTATCATTTAATTTCAAATGAACAACAACAGCTAAAATTTTTGGCATTAAATAATTAACTTATACAAGTGAGTTATACTAACGAAGAAGAAAAGAAAGTGGTTATAAAATAAAGTGAGTGTTTTGTGTTGAGGTAAGAATAAATTATCTATGTTGGCGGTAGCGCTGGAGTAAAGAAAATACCTGAATGGTGGAAAGTGAGTACTGCTGTTGGAACAAACATAATTTTGACAAAATTATAAAACTCGGCAGTTATGTCGACACAAGCTATAAGCAGGACCCAAGGTTTCATCTTACCCCAGCACTGTGTAATTAATTCTTTTTTTGTAAACTCAAAACGTTTAACTCTAGTTAGCCTTATCATGATACAAGTTGTTAAAGCCCTTTGATTGTTAACATTTTTTGTTATTATTGCCCTTTATGTAACATATGGTCAAATATCGTCCCTCAGAAGTCTGATTTACGTCTCTAAGGCGACCCATAAAGGGCCCTATGACATTGTGACGTCTCTTCGGGACGCCCCGGAGATGGACGGAAACGGGACATCAAAACGTTCAGTAAACGTCGAATTTACGTCCCGGTACCAGAAGAGGACGTCCCTCGGACCTCCCTCGTGTCCCTGAAGGACGTCTTTTAGACGTACATGTGATATGCAGGATAGTTCTAAATATATAGTTGACTACAATAAGAATATGTTTTCAGTTAACCAAATTATTTTTGAATGATTCTTTTGTCTGTTATAAATAATAAAATTGGGCTCAAAGCACTCTTTACTAGAACTTTCAACAAAACCAACACACAATAACATATTTATGCGTGTGACCCATATTTTAAACAACTTTAGCGATGTGGCAACGCTGCTGTTCTAAGTGGTTTGCCCTGTCCCAGTGTTGCCAACCGTACGGTAATTACCATACATATACCAAAATAGGGCAACGGTAATAAGTTAATTACCGTAGGCAAATTTAAACGGTTAGCAGAAAATGTACAGTATTTTAATTTATTTAAGTAGGTCCAAAAATCATTAGAAACCAGTAAATCTGAAAATAATGATAACTTTGTTATAGAAAATAGGGAAAAATGTCTTACTTTTTTTTAAAACTATTAGGAATGAGCAACAGGGCCGACGAGAGGGAGGGGCTGGTGGAACAAATTCGCCACAAAAGGGAGGAGGGCTGGTTTATGTAAAATGCGCTAGTTCAGTGTGATGTCATTTTGGTTCCACTGACATTTAATTCTAACCAAACTTTTAACAAAAACATCAGTAAATTTGACATATACGTTTTTACTGTTTTTATTTGATTTCAAAATATTGTTTACAGGACATAAAAAATAGTTTAAAGTTATGTAATTGGTAACTAAACGATTGTATATTTGATACATGCTATCTACTTACTTTAGGAATATATTTATAAAAGTGAAAAAAACGATATAATTTTGTTAAACAAAACGCACTCAAAAATCTACTGTCACTTTAATTGTCAGTGGAACCATAATTACATCATCACTGAACTAGCGCATAGAAGATGAGGTCCTTTTTTTCGAGACTTCAATAAAAAAGATCTAAGTTTTGCTTATGGACCTTTTTTTTAGAAATGTGATATCGAAATAAGGGCTTAATTTTTTTTAATAAAAATGTCCCGGGCCCCGCCTGGCTCTCGGCGGCCCTGATGAGCAATTTTTTTATTTTTAAGTGTTCTACTTGTATTGAAAATTTTAAAAATCGAAAATAAAGTTTTTCAACTTTTATAAATTTATTGACTTTTAGGAATGTTGTTAGCACACAAAAACTCAGCATTAAATGCATTATGTCATTTTAACCAGTCACACACAATGTCAATGTAGCATATTTTTACCATGTAGAAAAAAGATACCCTTAAAATTTTATTTAAAATAATGGGGTAATACGGCGGAAAATACAGTAATTTTGGATCGCGCCGATGCGGTAAATTGCATGAGAAGGGTTGGCAACACTGCCTATCCTGTTTCGTTTGTCGTTGTTTAAGTGGGGTTTAAGCATTAAGGGTTAGGTTTCGTGATATCAACAAATCGATAAAAATATTCTTAATTGAACGATAATAATCCAATGCAAATAGTGTAAATAAATGAAGGCGTAAGTACATTTCTAAGCAATATAAATAAAAGTAAATTCAAGTTGTTAACTTACCGTCATTATTTTCTACGAAATTTAATGAAACTAACTTAGAAGCTAAGTTATCAATAGATACCATGTTTGGCCTTGGACCGTGACAAAATCTCACAGAATGCACTGAATGCAGACTCTCATTCACCAGTGGAGTACTTAGTTCGAATGTAGGGGTTTAAATAGGTAGCACAGATTAGATAAAAGTGACGAGTGTCACGAGTTTAATACAATAACCTTTTTTCTACACCCGTATTATAATAATGCATTTATATGCCCATAATCCGTTTCATAATGATATCCATTATGATACAGATTTTTCATAACGATACAGATTTTTAATCAATAGAAACCCATAATTTTTCAATCAAGCATGCTGTGCATTTGACGTTGGTCCTAGGTTCCTATGTTTTAGTTGTCAAAATCAGTACGTATTAAATTTTCGTAGATAACTAAACTTCGATAATTATTATATTATCAAAATGTCTGATATCAGCGATATAGAATACTTACCATCGACTCCTCCACACATATTGGAAAAAGCGAGAAAGCACATTTTAATATGACAAAGTAAACAAATAGAAAAATAATGACAAACTATGGCTGTCAGACTGCTATGTTGACAAATATTAGCGGCAGAAAAAGATTTGATTTTTACAGTGAGATAGTTTTTATTTACTTCTGCAAATCGCAATGCTAATGCAGGGTTTTAATGACGGTTAGCAATAAAATTAATTTAATCCCATTAGCATAGTTTATACTGAACATTAAATAATTGTATACAGAATTTTAATGCATTACCTTATTATGTTACATTTAAAGTGTTTACTTGGCTAGTAGGGTAGTATACAAACTATCCAAATGTCTGGCTATTTTAATGGAAAATTATATTTCTATAGTGATGAATATTGGTTGGTTTCTCCAGTTAGTTGACAAACTATACAAGATTTATCGCCAAATTACAATCCACGAGAAAAGTACACAAATTACCGGTGTTTTTGGCTGGTTAACAAACTATCCATAGTATTTGGATAATGTGTGAATTTGATATCTGTATAATAATCCCAGCTAGCACAAAAACATCCCATCTACGTTAATAAGCTGCAATTTTAGGCTCTTTAAGCTCGCATGCAATGTACCGTAAACGTAACCCTATTATCCCTGCAACTACCGAATGTCCGCAACTGCAAGACTTTTATAGCACATCTCGTAGAAGTTATAAAGTGAAGTTCGGAAAACATCACACTAGCACTTTTACGGTACTTACCCCGAAAGTTGCTCTGAAACGTTCTATTGATGTTATAATGTGAATTAGATCTACAGCATTATACAGTGTGTCCACGGATGGGCTTAACTATACTTGTGAAAATATTTATTTTAAATTAAAAAAGTAATTCTTCATAATTTCTTGCTTGTTAAATAAATTCGATTCACATTGAGAAATTATGAAAAATAACTTTTTCTTTAATTTAAAATAAATATTTTTACAAGTATAATTAAGTCCATCCATGGACACACATTGTGTAATGTAATACAGAGAGGCTGAAATTGAGGCTATAGTAAAATCTCAATCGAGACATGAAAATTTCAAATAAAACAAAATATTTATATAAATTTATTATTAAAATGTTCTTGAAATCAAGTACCAATAGCACAAAAGTAGAGGTAGGTGTAGGCGTGTTCTTTTATTCAGTGCTGTATCCAGCGCTTGCAGCAAACCGTTCGTAAATTAAGTGATGGAAAGACGATTGTATGTGTCAATCATTCTTTTTTCCAGCGGTGAGTTCACCAATGAGCCAAGGCATCCATCGGCTTTAAAAGCCGATGGATATGTGATAGACGAATGGTGAGGATAATCAATCATTTAAGTTAACCTAAAATATAAGAGTTCAAATATAAAACGACTGCAGAATAGATAAATTACATCAATCACTGATAGAACAATTATTGAATAAAAGAACACACCTTATATCACAAACACAAGTACACATGTGGGATAGAAGAAGCTACCTAGAAAGCACTGAACGATTGGACAAAATTAGCTAAATAGTATAATAAGGTACCAATATTGCAAAGGTTCACTAAAACCTTAAATGGTGAAAGATGATAAAGCTAGATTGGTGAAAAATAATAAACAAATACAACAATGACTAGGTACATATTATTATATTAGATTACTAGAGGATAGCTAAGTTAGCTGATTTCTTACCTAAGACGCAGAGATATATCTTTTTTAAATCAAGCCTTTTAACTTTTTTTGCATAGATATTTATAAAGTGCTATAATGTAACCTAAATATGACAATTTATTAGAAGATAATAAATTATATTTTTATATAAAAAGATTTTACTTCTCAATACATTGAATAAAAAAGAAATTGATAACTTGTTTACCTATTATTAATTAAAGGAAATTATATAGAAATTAAAAAATATGCCTTACTTTGTTGTTTTAAATAAAACAACCAATGTTAGTGTATTGAAATTTGTTTGAATTTTACAAATTTTATGCTTGATTTCCAAAGTAGATATATCGATGGCTCAATCAAAAAACGCACAAGTCAAAAAACAAAGCAATTACATTTTTGGTTCAATGGATGCAAAATATCATTACGGTTTTACTTTAAATACCACCACAAACAAAAATATCCTTAAAGATAAATCATTTAAAATGTAGCCACAAACTGTGTCTAAAACTGCCTCAATTCGAGTTATTTTCTTCAAAAACACCCAAATTTTTTACAACTATGCAACAACTCACTTTTATAATCTAATCATTTTATTTAACAGCAAAATATCGAAGCTTTTAAATAAAATATAAAGAGTATGTCAAAAACAAAATAATGATAATAGAGACTTACAAAATTTCAAAATGAAATTTCTCGAAATAATAGTAATTTAGTTGTGGCAGTATTTGATTGAGCCATCAATATGTAGATTTTATAAAAAACAACTGGTGTTTTTTAGCAAGATATTCTATTATACTTGAGAGTATCATCTATGATTTCTTTCAACTTTTCTGCTGGGTTTTCACTTGAAATGATGGTTGCATTTCCAGGCAATCTAGCCTGTTGAAGAAAATGAACTGCTTGAATTCTGATATACCTGACATATCATGTACCTATAGATTCACTTTTTATAAAACTTCAGGTGTTATATTCTTTACACTTCTGTAGTATTTACTTTTGCTTCTAAAATTCCTAGAATGTCGAAGGAAACCTAAAAAATAATATTTTTAAAATGTATTTTTAGTTCGATAAAGTATAATTACCTTTTATAAGTATTTGGTGTAAAATGTTGCCGGACATTCGGTTAAATGTTTATCTTCTGGTTTACAACGATTGATCTGCAATTCTTTGTATTTATTGTAGTTTTTTTTATTTGGTGTCATCGGCATCGACTGCTAAAGATACTTAATGAATGAAATAATAAATTTACATCAGGCATTGTAATCTGAAACAAAGACAATGGTTTAGAAAATATTTATCTATTTTATAGAGGACCCTTACCAAATCTATTCGAATGTATAAATAATAATTATTTATAAAATAAATTCTGGATGTCGAAAAATAAACCATTAAAAAAGACAATTGACAAGAAAAACTGACAAGTGACAATTGACATAAAACTAAACGTTCTGAAATCAGATTTGTAATGTTTACGGTAGGTTAACTAGGTAAATAACAAATAGAAGTTTTGCGAGGTTTTGATTTCCCTCAACAACTTCTCATGAACGTTGCATTTACGTTGTATAGTAATGTTATTACGTTCCCTTAATGCAACATCGCCGAAAGGCTTGGCAACGTTATGTGCTAGCTGGGAACCAACTCGTCGGTTAGTAATACGTAAATTGTCCAATAGGGGGACCGAATTTTTTTTTTTTTTTGAAAATTCAAATGTGGAAAAGTGGTGACTTGGGTTCCTTGTATTCCACATTTTTTTTTATTTTTTTAATTCATATTCAGCCGGGCCCCTCGCTAAGGAATCAAAAATTTTTTTCAAAAAAAAAAAATCGTGGGTAGTAAGACCAAGTTAATGTCACCTCCTTATCACACAAAAACATGTTTATGAACATAACCTCACCTTTTGAATAAATTAACCAAAGTGGATTGGGCAGTAGGGTAGGCCGAAAATGATGAAAAAAAAAGTTGGGCTATTATGGAAAAGTTGTGACTGGTTGTGACTATGTTTTATACCAAAAATGAAATTTATAAAACAAATTGTAGCCGGTCCCCTTGGGGCTCAAAAAAAAATAATAAAAAATTCCTAAAATCTGCCAAATCTTAAATTTAGTGCCTCAATAAGGTTTATATAAAATATGATTAAATTTCTTCTATATTTCGTCCAGCCTCGCTTCTATTAGACAAAAAAAAATTTAAATATTCTATAATTTTATGCAGTACTTCGCTTAATTCATTATTTACAATTAAAAAATATGAAAATATGTGATTAAATATTTATTCATTTAGTTTAATATTAAATCAACATAGAACTCACCACGAGGAGGTGCATGGCCGCACCTCGAATCCACCCATCCCCTCTGTTGTAAGCTATTCATACTTTGTTGCATGATATTGTCCTTTATTATCAAATTTTGGTAAGTCAGTTCTTGCATCAAGTTTTGCTTTGATATAGCCACCTCTAGATTTTTCTTGGCACACTTTTGAAGATAAATCTTTTACCACTTTAACATATCTTTTGAATGCCTGAGTGTGGCATGGAAAATATTAAAAATGTGATATCTCATATTTTATAATGTCAATAAGATCAACGTAGTCTTGGGCGTCAAAGTTAATTTTTGAAATTTTAAAATTATGTTTTTTTATTCCAAGTTTTCTGGCCTTACATTTAAAGTGTTTACTTGTCTAGTTTATAGACTAGCTGGATAGTATAGAAACTATCCAAATGTCTGGCTATTTTAATGGAAAATTATATTTCTACTAAACTAGCGATGAATATTGGTTGGTTTGTCCAGTTAGTTCACAAACTATACAAGATTTGTCACCAAATTACAATCCACAAGAAAAGTACACAAATTACCGGTGTTTTTGGCTGGTTTACAAACTATCCATAATATTTGGATAAAGTGTGAACTTGATATCTGTAATACATAATAACCAACTCGTCAATTAGTAATATGTAAAATGTCCAATAGGGGGAATGAAAAAATTTTTTTTTTTTTTTTGGAATTTTAAATGTGGAAAAGTTGTTACTTGGGTTACATATATTCCACATTTTTTTTCTTTTGTTAAGAGTTATTGCTCCGTTCATGAGAACTAATTTGTCGGCATATTACTCCTATTATACCCCTACCTTCAAAATTCCAAGAACGGGTCGTCCAGCCACATTTCCCCTATCATAGGAAATGGATCGGCGATTTATTTAGTTATACCGGTGAATGGAAGATTTGAACATATTTAGTAAAATTTTGAACCTAAAAGAGAAAGTTATTTGTGAATTTTCCAATAAAACTAAGAAAATTAGTTAGTCAAAACATTCTTCGTTTAAGAACATCTGTTACGAAGGCAGTTTCTTATAGAAAGAAAATAGTCTTAGCACTATTAATAACGTTTTGCTTTTAAAGAAATACATAGACAATGCAAGTTTTCACGTTTTTGGTGATCATAAAAACTGCGATATTTATTTTTGTCAGAAGCATACAGATGAAACCAAAAACGAAATAACTAATTTCAGATCTAAAACTGAATTTTTTACAAGACTTCTACAAATTATACATGCTTTGTCAGATCACAGCAGAAGTGGAACAATTTCATGCGACAGTTGCTAAGTTTCTA